TAGTTGGTTGGGTAAACTTTTGAGATCGCCAATCGGCGACGATCTCTCGCCTTGGTCGACTTGTCCGATTTTCCGGAGAAGGGAAAAGGGAGAGTGTTGTTTTTTCGATCATGCCACATAGACCCTTTGCTGTTTGTTTATAATAAAATTGCTCGTGGCGCCGGAGTTTCTATTTGCGCCGGCTGCTCTAAGTTTTATAGGCAGTGTTCTTCTTGCCCTGGAGATATCCGAGTTTGTTTGGAAAGCTGCTCAGAGTGTTTAAACAATAAATTTTTTTTGCTCGTTTTTGCTCGAGCAAAATTCCGGGTTATTACTAGGCGCGGTTTATTTTTTCGGGCGCCGATGTGATTTCCGTTTGCTCTCTTATCGTTTGGAGTCTAAGTTTCCAAACGATAGGAGACCCGTTCGAGTTATTTATTGCTTTTCAGTATTTACAAAAAAAAGGGTTTGTTATGCGTTGGCGCGTCGCGTTGCAAGAAAAAGGGAACCGTGGAGTCCCCAGGACGTAACACATTAAATGTAAACATTTAAACATTAGAGGTGCACAGTTTAATTGAAATGTCTTACTTAACATCAATGTATGCTCAATTGCAAAACATCAAAAACAAATGCAATAAATAATAAAATAAATATATACCTTTATATATAATATATAATAATACTTCAGCACACTTATAAACATACGTATACCATTAAAAATAGTTATTAGAAATTTCAGATTCTGTTTCGCTAAGAGCAGTATATATTGATGGAGATACTGTATCATTCAATGTGTCGGCTATATCGTCGATTTTCTACATTTTTGTCTCTTTGTCTCTAACGTGTTTTATACAATGATTCTAGTGCTTGTTACTTGATCAATATTTTGTTCGAGTAATAGTTTGACGTCTTGTAATTTAAAAGTAGTGTTATTATTTCTAACGTATCTTTTAACAAAAGCCCAAATCAGTTCAATCGGATTAAGTTCACAATTATATGGAGGTAATTTAAGAACCGTTTTATGATTTTGGTTAACTACCTCGTCTATGATATATTTATCAAACTTGTTTTTCATTTGTGCAACAATGTTCAATAATTCGACCTTTATCATGTTGTCTAATACTTGTACTCTTTTACTTTCCAACCATTGCACTATGTCCACTTTTCTCCAAGAAGAATTCGGCAGTTTTTCCACTTTCATAGAATAGTATGGAACGATGTCCATAACGATCACAGTATTGTTTTCTAATAATGGTAAAATATTTTTGAATCATTCGAGAAATGTGTCGCTGCTTATTTCATCGTGATAATCTTCCGTATTTTTCTTCAATTCGAAACAGGTTAAAGTTTCGCCAGGAACGAAACCAGCAGCACTATGCAAAATGATTAATCTCTTACCTTTTCCAGTTGGATTAGCTGGCCCTGTCAATCCTCGGAGATATGCGTTTTTGTTGAATTGTATTGTTTCTTCTATCTACACTTTCTTTGTGACATCACCAGCATTCACCACGTCCCGTCCAAATAATAAATTGATCGCCCTTCTTCTCTATCAAGAGGCACGGTAGTGCCTCGCGCCAAGTTCACGCGCAACAAAGTGGCGCTCGAATTGCGCGCACCGTGCCTCTTATACGCGAGATTCATGCAATTTAGGAGTGGGGAGATTTTCTCAGGGCAATATTTAAGTAATGACTGAACCGATCATGTTTGTTTTGGTCTTAATCGATTCAGAATAAAACATTTCAAAAAAGTGTGATTACGTTTTTTTTGTTATATGCCTTCCCAAGCAGCAAAACTGGGCAAAATTACCTCTATTTGACTTTCTAATAGGTCTAAAAGTTTTGTCGACCAAGCCTTATTTACTACAAATCGACGTCGAATGATGGTAAGTGGGGAAAAAAGTTGAAGTCATTTTATGGTCAAAATGAAGTAATGTAAAACATTTTGTCCTATGGGTCATAGTCCAATTTGGTCAACCAAACCAATTAGAAGATCGAATATTTGTAATATGATGGTAATTCCGACTTAATTGTGACCAATTTTTACATTTTTCTTTTGGCGACGCAGCTTTCTCCTTCAAGACATCTAGGTGGCAGCATATTATTTTATATTATTCAAGACCAGAATCTGTCCTACTCATATATATGGTACGGACCCTGGCCATAGAAATCTGAAATAAATTACTATAAGTCCACCGCTACTTTACTTTTAAAATTAAAGATTGCATCATATATGAAGGAAATATAAAGACGAAAAAAAATTGTCTGTCTAGATTTTAATTTTACATCTCCTAAACTTAACGCGCTTTCAAAAACAAATAATTTAAACATTTAATATTTAAATGTTAGTTATTTAACAATTATTTATTTTTTATATAGAACTATAAAACTATATAATCTCGAACCTGGACTAAAAATTATCTTAAAGTAGATCGTTTTTTCAAGCTTAAATCACTTGAAAAATATAATAAAACATATTTTAATGCCTCTGTTTTAGAAAGCATTTTTATACAACATGGCGGACATTTCTGCTCTCATTTCCATGGCTGATTTTACGTTTAAGTGAGAATTTTGACATATAGATTATATTTCCTTGCTCGAAGACCGAATGCCTAATTTTGAGGGCAACTCTTCTTAATCAGGACATTTTTACTTTAAAGTTGTGACCTTTGAAGTCGTCTTGTCGACCAATAGAACATTACAACTAGTAAGACCGATTTCTCTACTTACAAGTTAGATCGACTTCAAAATCATGATCGATTGTTTCGATTGAGGTAAAGATATAAAGAGGTTAGGTTAGGGTAGGTTATGGTTTGATAACTGTTATCGGCATCAATAAATATAGACGCATATTTATATTCGTTGACAGCACATTGAGTGTGCTGACAGTGAAAAGAAGAAAAATAATCAAAATGAGTGCTGATCACTTTACACTTGTGGCTATAATAAAAAAAACATGAGAATATTTCTAAAATGGAATATTCGTTTGTCCCACATTTTGTTTCGACATTTTTATCTTTAAAGTAGCAAGAGTAACCAGAGTAAATTTTTGCTTAGTACAATCACTAACTTTGAGAGCACTTTTGCTGGTCATTTGGACTAATTTCAGTCCAAATTTCCTAATAGAGCAATTTTCTTGATAATCTCGACTTTGCAGTTATAGCTCCCATCATAACTCACGATCGTGCAAGGGTAATGCAAGCCTTAAATTTTCCCTATTAGTTCAGTCGACTATGCAAGGTTTATATAAGGTAAAAATTAGGATATTTTGATCAATTAACACATATCGTCTACGTAGTTGAAATTAGGTAATACAACTAAGTCATATTGCTTTCAAACGAGACACTCATTTCGATTTTATAGCTCATTCGACCACGAAGGCACATCTTTAGTCAAAATTTAGTCATTTATAACTTAATGTCTAACATTAAAGTCACAGAACTTTGAAGGCATTTTATAAGTTAAAACTATATATTTTCGATTTCCATATAAGACTTGACATAAATGACTTGACATTGACTCTTCTCAGGAGAAGAGTCAAACTGTGCTTGAGTGTGTTAATCTGTGTCGATTTGTGTTTTTTAAAAAGAAAGCAGTCAGAATAATAATAGGCACTGACAGCTTGCACAAACAGTACAGCGCTGAGGAATGGGGAACTTTCTCCGCGTCCCGTTGGAGGGGCAATGCGCAGAACGGACGAATTGGCGTCGGTCCGCGGACCTTTCTCTCATTGAAAAGACAGTAATGCCTGTCAGGCATTACCTGGTGCGATCAGCTGAGCGCTACACACTGTTTCCGTATCTTTTTTTGTCTCTCTTTTTCTCTCACTTATTCATATATTCATTTGTAATTTATATCACTTAATCCGTGCATCACATAAATCACTGTCAATTACAGTGAGTTGCGCCGCCTCTGCCTATTTCTTGTATCCGACTTGTGATAAGTCACCTATTTTTATTAATAACTCGAAAAGTAAGTTTCAAACAAAATTTTGTCAAATAAAAAGTTGTCTTAGAATTTAATCAAAAATATGTATTTTCAAGGAGAACGGGTTCTGAATTACCTTGTATCTCACAAATTATCTAAGAATAATAGACGTCTTTTAAATCTCACAAATTATCTGAGAATAATAGACGTCTTTTAAAACATTACAATGAACGTCGTCGGGTCCTATCACAGACGTCCTCGGGCCGTACCACAGATGTCTTCGGGAAATCTTATGGACGTTCCCAAGACATCTTCAAAACGTCTTATCTCTGCACAAAGGTGTGGACAATATTATGGAACGTTCATAAAACGTTCTCTGGACGTCTTTTGGACGTCTAAAATTTGGCGTCATGAAATGGACAAGTGAGGGCATATATGGTACGTTTCGAAGACGTCTGTGTGGGTTTGTTTATAAGACGCTTAGGATTTTTTGACCTCGATTTTTTCAAAAACGCTTGAGTAGTGGGTTTTCTTGCTTTGCTCAATAAAGGTTTATAAGAGTTTTTACGATCGCTTTTCGTGGATATGGTTCTATTCCGTGCTGAGATGTGGTGGGGATACGCACACAAGCGAGAACCGCCGTCCGTGTGCGCTCGTGGAAAAGTTCTCGCTTGTGTGCGTATCCCCACCACATCTCAGCACGGAATAGAACCATGTCCACAAAAAGCGATCGTAAAAACTTTTATGGGCTTGGCCGCTCTCGTTCTTCTCTTTGTTCATACTAAGGTCTCTTTACGAAACAAATATAGAAATCGGTAAGGTCATTACCCCAAGGTTCTCTTGTTTACGATCTTAGTCTAATAGTTATCTGTAACATACTTCTACTACATTGAGATTACATAATATGTTAAATGTAATTTATATTATTTGTTTCTCTTACACCATTACAAAAGCTATTTATTTCCATCAGCAACTACTCTCGCCTTAAAAGGTTTTAGTATTGTAGTTAATATTAATTAAAGTTAAGGTTTTTGAAATCCATAATTTTTATGAACATTTTATTACAAATATTAAAATTAGAGTTTTGTTCTGTTTTAGGTAACACCCGCCAAGTTTTTACGAACGGCCTTCGGTATTCGTGGACTTAGTTCAGCATACATATCACGAGTATTTCTGCGCACGGAAATGGCTCTCAAAAGCAAAAATGTTTTGACAGGATCTCGATCTTTGGCCAGATCACGTTCGACAGACAACTTACCTACAAGTCAATCTCAAGTTAACATCCAAATGATGTCACACACACTCACAATACGAGAAGTATGTTATTTATCTATTTTTTTCTTTTTTAATATATATGTTTAGTTATTCGAATTGAAGAATAATAATTTGTCAATTAATTAATAATTGATTATATATATTATAACATGAAAAATCTATCAAAATTTGATTTTACTAGACAAAATAAGTTTTCAGATAAGACTTTTTAATAATACTTTTAATAATTTAAATCATTTATATAGAATTAAGAAATTAAATGTATTGTAATGATAAAAATTTCTACATATATAGGTTTTCGACTTTGCACGCAAAGCGAGGTTATTGAAGCTTCTACTTTCAACAAGGAAACTGGATAGATTTGATTATTATTTCAGAGTAGAGATGGGGATGGGGCTTTGTATTTTCCTTGCTCACGCATTCTCTTTTTATTTACATAATACGATTTTGATATATGATATGTTATAGTAATGCTTGCTACCAGAGAGAAACCTGAGAGCGGCTATTCTATTGTAGTTTCTTACAACGGTTCAGCCGCTTGTTTTAGCGCCATATCTACAAAAGTAGATCTCAAAGACCGTTTTACATTAAGTACAATTTGTAGATCTTGTGGAATTGACCAATCGCATAGTCAAATCGGCTAATCGATCAACGTGATTGATCAGTTCCACGAGATCTGTGACTTACCTTTAATGTGGAACGGGCTTTGTTATTCACTTTTGCGGATATAGCGCTAAAACCAGCGGCTGAAACCGTTGTAAGAAACTACAATAGGATCGCCGCTCTCAGTCTTCTCTCTGTTGCTACATTTGGATATGTAAAAGCTTTGCTTGAGCAACACTGCTAGGTTTTTTCCAAGTTCTTTTCTAATTTATAATTTCTTATTCTTTTTATTCTTAGCATCCGTTGCTAGAACGAGAAATATCAAACATCGTTAAAGGAAATACGAATTAGAATATTTCAGAAGAGCTTAGCGACTGAGCACTTGATGGATACAATCTTTATTTATTCAAATGTGGCAAATACTGTATTATAATATTACAGTGCTCGGAATTATTTGTACTTTTGGCCGGATTGCTAAGGATCACTTTTTCTTTACCACTTATCTCAGCGACAATCCCTCTTTGCGAATAGCAGTGAGACGCGCACAAAAGTGATTATGCTTTAAGAGTGCGATGACGCTATGAAACGAAGACTATTGCTGCGGAACATCGATAAGGCAAAATAGAAGGGATTACTTTCAGAAATTCGACCAAAATTGCAAAAATAATTACGAATATTGTCGTAAGAGATAAAGTGACTGACAAAAAAGAAACCACTTCTGTTTTAAATGTTTGGATTAAGTTTGGCTTATATATATTGTTACGCAGCGGTCACCGCGTATGTGTCGCGGGAGCCGCGTGAACGGTGCGCGCTCGGCGCGATTGTTCGTCGCTGGGCAACGGAGTTGTTGTGAGAAGTAACGGAGACGCGAAGCTGTCACGACGAGTTACGGACGATCCTGTAATTTTCTGTAGTAATTAGTATTAAAATAAAGTGTTGTAAAGAGAAGCTTCGTTCTCTCATTTTCGCGGACGTGTGCGCGAATCGCGGAAATCGACGACGGGGCAGTACCGCTACTGCGAGTGTAACATTTTCGTCCGGGATTTCGAACAAACGAAGAGAGAGAGAAAGAAGAAAAGGGAAGGAAGCTGATAATGAAAACGCAGGTCATGAGCACGGCGACGTCGAAACGGAAAGGAAATTTTACGGGTGAGTCCACTGCGCTCCAGACCGCGCTCGGCGGGGAACGAGTACTGCAAACGGAACGACGGCGAGGGAAGAGGATGTGTCGTCGTCGGCGCACGGAGTCCAAAGATTCTACGCGGCTGCGAGGAGTGAAGTCTTGTCATGCGGATAAATTCCGGCGGAAGAAAAGGCGGCTGACGCGAATATCAGGCGAGTCGTTAATAAATTTGTTTCCTGTTTGGGCGAACGAACTAATGTGCGTGTTTGTCGCGCAGGATTCGGTTGGGTTTTTCGGGGCAAGTTCGGCTCTGTAAAGTTGAGCCGGGGATAATAGAGAGAATTCCTGAAAGAAGTGGAAATTTGGTTTAAGAACGACTACGAACGGTAAAAATGTTTTCTCTTCGGACCCCGTAACTGGGCGTGCTACTATCGTTTCTTTCGGTCACAGTTAAGTCTGATTCCTGTACGAATCGAATTTCTTTTGCCGGAGTAAGTAGTCCCGTTGGCTCGGAGTGGATTATCTTTGGTTCTAATATAGAGTATTTTTCTGCCTTGTGCAAGGTTTCTAGGTTCTCGCCAGTTGGTACTTGGCGTTCCATTGGTGACTAGGACGTGGTGTTTTATTGTTTGCTTTCTAACTTCTAGCGGTTGAAATAATTTCTTCAGGTTGCATGGTTCTAGCGGTGAAGCGCCTTTGGTTCTCTGTCGAGAGAGTCCTAACCGTCCTGAGGTGGACAAAACTGATTTAGTTGAGTCGGAAATTAGGTCCTCTGAGAGATGGAGGCGGGGCGACGAGATCGCGGGGCTTTTGAGTAGAGAAGTAATCACATGACAGTAGTTATAAGATTTGGTTCTTACAATGGATTTCTCTCTACAAGCATTCGGCTCAGTTTTCGTTTTACAGTTTTTGAGCTATAAGTTTCCTGTTTTGTTTGTTTTTCTTTACAGAATCTATTCTTTCCTTTTCCTGCTTTATCGAGGACGTCGAAAGGTAGCGACGTCGTGTCATTCCGTGCCGTTTCATCACGTTTACCTTTATTGTATCAGTGAAGACCGCCTCGTTCACGGTTTTCGACGCGTGGTTTCTTGTGGGCCATTGGGCAAATGCCGAGGCGGGGACTCAGGGTGCCCATTTTTGGGCAGTGGGTCCACGCAAATTCCCCCCCTCTCCTTGTCCGAAGTCCGAGGGATTTCAAGAAATTGTCGGAGCCCCGAAGAAAGAAAATTTCTCAAGAGGAGGATTTCTTCGGAGGAATTTCTTCGACCGGTCAGCTTGAGATCCTGTGGCAGCAGTCCAGGAGTGAGCGGGAAGACCGGACCTCCTTTAATCGTCGGGACGACGATTTGGAAGAGGAAGGGGGCAATGTTACGCGGCGGTCACCGCGTATGTGTCACGGGAGCCGCGTGAACGGCGCGCGCTCGGCGCGATTGTTCGTCGCTGGGCAACGGAGTTGTTGTGAGAAGTAACGGAGACGCGAAGCTGTCACGACGCGTTATGGACGATCCTGTAATTTTTTGTAGTAATTAGTATTAAGTATTAGTATTAAGTATTAGTATTTTGGGAGGCGGCAAAATGTTACACTCGCGGTGGCGGTACTGCCCCGTTGTCGATCTCCGCGATTTGCGCACACGTCCGCGGAAATGAGAGAACGAAGCTTCTCTTTACAACACTTTATTTTAATACTAATTACTATAGAAAAAATTACAGGATCGTCTGTAACGCGTCGTGACAGCTTCGCGTCTCCGTTCCTTCTCTCAACAACTCTGTTGCCCAGCGACGAACAATTGCGCCGAGCGCGCGCCGTTCACGCGGCTCCCACGACGCATACGCGGTGTCCGCCGCGTAACACTGCTCTCCCTCTTCAAGAATTGTCGTCCCGACAATTAGTGCGCTGGCTTCCGTCAACTCCAGGATCAAGCTTCAAACTTCAATCCAATTGACACCAGCTTTTGACGTTTCCAGAGTCCCGACGAATTTTCCTGTTCTCCTCTAACCTCCTGTCTAGAGTAAGCGAACACAACGTTGAACTCACACGTCTCTTTCTCCTTTCTTCTTAATTCTCTTCAGACAAGGGAGAGGAGAAAAGTTCTTGTGGACCCAACGTCCTTAAGGACACCCCAAGTCTTTGCTTTGGCATTTGCTCTTTGTCCCCCAGGAAAACCACGCATCAAAAACCGGAGGCAAAGCAGAGATGCGCCGGCCAATGACATCATTCTTCGTCGATGTCGTCTTTTTCAAAGATGTTCTTCGACGCCGATATTCATGACGTTCGCGCAGCCTCTCGTCGAAACCGACACGCCGCTAGGAATAAGAAACGAAACAAAACACAACAGCAACCAAATAGGAACTCTTAACATAGCCCGTGTCGAACCAAAGTGAAGAGAATTCCATCTCTTAAATTCAGCGGTAACATGTAAACAAACCCCTCCCTCCTTAAAGCCAGGCAACCAGGACACCTCACCTTTTCGCAAAATCCACGGAAACATTAATAGATCTCCTCCAGAATATAGAAAAACCAATAGAAATTATACAACCTAGAATATAGACAAACCAATAGAAATTAGAAAACCAAATTACAAATGAGAAAACCTTGCCCAAGGCAGAGTAGCACTAGGAATTAGTCCTATTATTAGGAACCAAACCTAACTATGACTATTTTCAGAGATGAAAGAAAACGATTTGCCCAGCTGCGAAGCCCGTGGAAGGAGTAGTCGACAAAACGCGAACTTCCCTCTAGCTTTCAGGAATTCTCTCCGCTTCGGCGGAGGTCCGGCTCTATTTTTTTCAACACTCTTTAGTTCACTCGCCCGAACGAAAAAAATAGATTTGTTAACGACTCGCCTGAACGCACGAAGTTGCCGTACTCGTTTTCGCGCTGGTGGAAAAACCAGCATTTACGCTGCCGTTCTTCTCCTGGCTCACGAACCCCTCGCAGAACCGCTCGCATATCCGGAGACTCCGTCGCCGTTTCCGCGCGTTTCCTCCTTCGCGCAGCGACCACATCGTCGTCCGCGTCCGTTTCCTTTGCGTTTCTTCTTGTCTCGTCGCAGTTCATTCTCTGCAGAAAATTCTCTACGAGAACGGAACGCTTGTCGTACGCACCGATCCCGGACGAGCCCCCAAAATGTTACACTCGCGGTGGCGGTACTGCCCCGTCGTCGATCTCCGTGATTTGCGCACACGTTCGCGGAAATGAGAGAACGAAGCTTCTTTTTACAACACTTTATTTCAATACTAATTACTACAGAAAATTACAGGATCGTCTGTAACTCGTCGTGACAGCTTCGCGTCTCCGTTACTTCTCTCAACAACT